CCAACACCCCAGCTCTCGCAGCTGAGCCCCAGTGAATCACAGTTCTGGTCCTCTGCTCCCATGGAGTTTATAAATGGCCCAACCTGCATCAAAACAGCCCCACGATATGTTAATAGCTCTACCACTGACATGTGATGGAATAGCTACACTAACAGTATTCAAACATTTCAGAACATCGTATTCTCAGTCTGTCTTGAGCTTGTTTTTGAATCCAGAGTAAACATACAAGCGCTAGGCAGCCAAAGCTCGGTCTTTTCATGATGGTGTACTGTTACAAGTAGGCATTGCCTGTTTTCTTTATTTTGTTTTATTTTTTGTTATTTACTTATTTAATTTAATTTTATTTATTATTTTTTTTTTATTTGTGAGAGAGAGAGAATGAGAGACAGAGAGCATGAGAGGGGGAGGGTCAGAGGGAGAAGCAGACTCCTGCCGAGCAGGGAGCCCGACGCGGGACTCGATCCCGGGACTCCAGGATCATGACCTGAGCCGAAGGCAGTCGCTTAACCAACTGAGCCACCCAGGCACCCCTACTTATTTAATTTTAAGTAGGCTCCATGCCCAACGTGGGGCCTGAACCCACAACTCCGAGACCAGGAGTCGCATGCTCTACCAGCTGAGCCAGGCAGCACCCTGCCTGTTTCCTTTATATCACTTCCATGATTTGGAGGGACTGGAATGAAGTACTACCGTCACCATAGTTCACGAGGCCAACAAACGTACAAGAACACACGTGTAGGGAGCCCACACACTTGAGGATTCTGCAGCTGACCTGCCAAGGTCCGTTCTTTCGCTAGTCTTCTTGTCTCATTCCTGATAACAATGATAATAATAATAACCATAACTATTATTATTATCATTACCACTATTATTACCATTATTGGTATTACTTAGTATTTACTTCTTTTTGGTCAAATGAAATAGTTCCTACCCTATCTAATGCTATGCTACTCGCTTACCTTACCGTGGTTGCTCACTGAGGTTGAACTACACAATGACGAAAGTACCTGCCACTGGACACTCCCACCAAGGGACCGCAGAGAAGGCACGTCCACCTAAGTACTCACTTCTTGGTTCACACGGCCCTCGGTCCCCTCTGTGCAGAAGCAGCATCAGCAAGGACCCCAGAGATCACGCACACGTCAATACCAAAAGATGCCTACACAGTCTGACCAAGACAGTCCTGTGATGATAGCCACGGTCTACATCTGTGCCGTCCGATATATCCTGGCTACCAAGCCCCTGAGACGAGGAGCTAAAATTATAGCTGTATTTAACTGTAATTAACTAAAATTAAGATAGCTAGTGGCTACCATATTAAACGGTGCAGCTCTGGACACGTGGACTCACCACGGCATCTCAGAGTTTTTACCTTGTCCCTGAAACACAAGAATCTGATCATCCTCAAAACTGGGTTTACGATCATCGCACTCGAGAATGTCTCTAGAAAATACTACGGCTCCCACAAGGGAAGACATTTCTGTGAGGCTGTAGCTGCAGAGAAAAGGCAGAAGTGGCTTCTCAGAGGACATGGGGCCGGCTCCTCTGCAACCACCAGGGGTCACTGGATTCGGGACAGGGTCCCCAGGGGCTGGTGTGAGCACACACTCCAGGCTTATAAGCCACAAGCAAAGAGCTAAAAGAAGGGGTTCTGAGCGGCTGGAAAGACTATCTTGAAAAACAAAAACAGTGGCATGAAACCAGTGGGTGTCTTGTCAGCCTTAAGCAACTATTACCACTGGCCAAAAGAACAGAACTAATTGCTGACTTGAAAGGAAAAGAAAAAAAAAAAAAAGACAAAACAAAACATGAGAAAAGAACTAAATCAGAAAATATCTAAGGAATGTAAGTTGTTTCCACAGACACTTCTGAGCAAATAGGCTGTGTATGATATTTCAACATGGCTATTCTGTTGTCCTTTTCCTCCCCCCTCGGCTCTCCCGACACCCCCCATGCTCGATGAAGACACCTCCTTTCCTACACGCAATTACTTTTGCTTAGCTCTCCCATAAGGGGATAAAACATATGGCACACTTCTCTTAAAGAGTGTCTCCTCTTTGTGGAGTGGCGAAGTGTGGGGGACACAGGGCTTTTGGGTTTGACTGGAAGGTCCACCATCTGCCCTGCCCTTGATCAGGCACAGCTGTTTCCCCTCTCCCAACTGCTCCCCTCAGGCACCCCCCCTTTTTTTAAAGAAAGGACCACCCTGAACAGAAAGGGCTTTCTATCCTCCCCTGCTTAAAGCCCCATATCGAGCCTTGTAAGGAGAAGGAAAGTGGCAAATACAGCAAGTGATTTTTAAAATCAGAGGATAGAAGGAAGGGTTCTGAAACCAACAGTATGATTTTGTTTTCTGGGGGCAGGTTACAAGAGCCACCTTTTCAAACTTCAGGGATTCCTCCGGAAGAGGAAAATAATTATTTTCCTTCTCAATATCTTCAGGGAGAAATAACATTAGATCGAGGAGTTCCTTATGGCCCTAATTTTCTTTCTGTCCCCATCCATCCAGCCAACGGTTGGAATTCTGCCTGCTTTGCGAGCTTGCTCTGAAAAGCCCTCCCAAACCGCAGGGTGTAATGAATCAACTGGAATGAGGATAAGAGCTAGAATTTCCAACCGGTAGCCAGGGTGGCAGAAGGGGCACTCAAGGTGAGGGCGAGGCCTGAACCAGGGGGCGGTGGAGGTGAACGGGCAGAGGGACAGAGGTGAAGGCCAGGCTCAGATGGAGAGTAACGGAAGCTCTCTGGGAAGTGTCACTTGCTAATTGGTGGCCCTGTAGCCTGGACGGGGCTGGCCTCCAAGAGAAAATCTGCTCAGAAGAGTGCAAGGGAGAAGGCCGAATTCTTAGGGAGAACCTCAAGACAGTTGCTGAGTAAGAGCCAGTAAACCTCCCCATGCTGTGTCATCTATGTCCCTTCATTCAAAGTGCCTCCGCCAAGCTGCCCCCTCATACCCACCTCACGCAATGCGCATGCACGCGCACGACACGCATACACACCGCAATCACAATCAACCATGCGCACGCACACAGAGGTTCACATGTAAGACATGCATACAAACGCATGCACACACATATTCAGAGACACACCAACATCTACACATAAAACGCATGACATGTGCACACACACACACACACACAACCCACAAAGACCTTGAGAAAGAAACACATATGCTGACGCATAAAGACACCCATAACCCACAAGTACACACTGGGCCTACACACGCTGACTCATACCCCACAAACCTTCTTTATGTTCGGATACAAAGTGGAGGTTGGGAAAAACAACCAATTAATTGGGCCAGGTCTCAAAGGAGAGGAAATGAAATGAAAAATCCGGGCTGGGTTATAAAAATAAGTTGTTTTTTTTTTTTCCAACGTGCAGGAGGCTCATTATATTAATTAAACATTATTGCAGTGAACGAGAGGGGGGAGGGTGATTAAGGCTGGGACGAGGGTAAGTGTTCTCTCCTGTTGCCCGAGGCCACGGTGATCTTCAGATATTAATCTCTCCGAGCACTCAAACGCTGAAGAGATAAACACTTGAAATATGAAAATGTTTTTCTCCAGAGCAGACGCTGTGACCCTCCAGGAAAGCAAGTGCAGTCTGTGTCAGGAGGCCGGCCCGCAAAACTCTCCTGGCATCTCCCCCACTGCCGTCCCCTGGGGGCAGGGGACACCGCCAGTCCCTGGGGTTGAGGGGCAGCAGAGCTGCTCTGGGGAACCCTGCAGAAGGAGGGGGGGCCTCATCCCCCTTTAATTCTCCAGTCAGGCAACATTTGATCTACCAATTTCCAGAACGGACCCCTTTGCTCTCAAAAGCTTATGGGGCTCCGAGGTCCAGGCCTGGGGTGCAGAACAGTGAAAACCTAACGCGTGGTGGGCTAGAGCCAACGTGTGCTGGCTTGCGAGGGCCGGCTGTTAAATTTTCTGGAATTTTGCGAGGCAGTTGTTAAGCGCGGTCATTATTAAAAATTAAATGACAAAGTTACCATTAAATAAGTTACATTAAAAACGAAAGGTCATAAATTCTCAGAACTCAACACCTGCTCAGTATTTGGATCCATCTTGCCAGTCTCTATGCTCCTGAAGTCATTCCTATCTATCCGAGCTGTCTGATGGCAGAAACGATCTAAGGCTGTTTGCATTTCCCACCTCTGCCTCTGGTGACGTGTCGGCAGCGTAACCATGGGGGGGGGGGTGGCTTGACACCACTGAAAGCGGCAAACATTACAAGGCAGGGTTTCTCTCTTTCCCCATCCCCGGGGAGGTGGTGGTTCAACGCTGGCCAGAACCCCGCTGTGAAAGCACGCTGCGGTGGACAGAGGAGACCCCTCCTGCTCCTGCAGGCTGAGGAGGGCTCAAGGCAAGCCCTCTCCATCCACGGTGCCCCAGGAGGCTGCCCAAAGCCGGCACTCAGAAAGGGCAGCTGAACAGTGTGTCGGGGACTGTCTTCCAGCAACACTCTTCCAGAAGCCAAGTGCCAGGCAGCTCTGCGAGACCCCATGGGCACGGCAGCATTTTGGCCCCTCAGCTTGGTTTGCTACCGCCGTGAGGATACTCTCAGAGAAGTATCCATTGGGCTGGAGGCCAGTGGTTTCCTAAGGAGGCATTTTAGGAGGTTTTAGGAGTGGACAAAAGGCTCTGTGATGTCGGCCGGGAACGCTACAGCTATGGTGACAAGGGGGCACTGCCTCATCCCGCCTCCCGAAACCTCCCAACTACTCTTCCTTTCGTCTTTTTCTTTCTTTCCTCTTGGCCTCTCTTGCTCCCTCCCGGCTTCCGGGCTGCACTGTTAATCACAAGACAGGGCTAGGAACCACGACCCAGCTCTTCTGCAGGGTAGATGCTGTGAGCAAAGACTGTGGTGGTTTGTGGGCGCAGAGCAGAGGATTGCTCCGTGGTGGGAAGTTACGACGCTTGTCAGGGCATCTGGGGCTGCGAGACGGGCAGCAGGCTAGCCGTCGTAACTCTTTCCTCTCCGAATCTGCCGCCGGCTTACCTGGAAATGTCCGGTCGTTTGGGCTGGAGCCGCCGGTCCAGGTGCTCCTGAGCCACTTGGCATGGTCGTACATCCAACCACAGGGCTCCTCGGCGAAGTCAAAGTTGCAGTTGAATCCTGAAGGGAGCTGCAGATCTTTGTCTGAAAGGGGGGGAGGATAACCCAAAGAAGGCAAATGAAGTGGGTTGGGACAACAGCCACAGCGGTGCTATTCAAAACGCTGGCAAGGCCTCAGTGGAGGGCAGAGAAAGAAGTGGCTCCCTTTGCTGATTCATTTAACTCATCTTGGCGATCGTTGGCTTTCAGGTCAGCCTTTGGTCTCATCCTTCCCAGGCACGAAAGCCAAGTCTGCCAGTGGTTCCCATAGTAAGCAATTATAAATGAGGCCACCAAATGGCTTCAGGCTCTAATCAGGCTCTTCTGTCCACCTCAGAGAGCAGACAAATGTGAAAATTGCTGTTCCCTAAGTGCCAGAGAAGAATGTCTCCCCAGTGCCTCAGTGGAAGGCTGGCTCCTGACAACCTGGCTCTCACAAGTGATGGGGCAGCCCATTAGCATCCAGGGAGGCTGGCGTGCTGGGGAGGTACTGGCCAGGGAGGAGAGAGTGAGCTCCAAAACAAGGAAGGCTTGTTTGTCCCCCCTCACCTCCTGTGATAGGTCTTCCATGCCAGGACACAGGGTCAGCTCGGCCTCCCCGTGGGGCGGCACGGCCAGGTGGGCGACTTGGCACAGTAGGGCAAAGCGAGGGGCCAGAGCAGCCGGCCGCCTCGCTCAGCATTGGCCAGGAGCAAAAATAATCTCGCACGGCACCGAGTGTCTGCGGGCCAAGATCTCAGGGGCAGCAGGGAGTGCCTTCCTCATGGAAATGTCAGAAGTGACTGCACAATGGCTCGTCCCTGTCTGCTCGGTGGTCCCATGTCTAAGCCGGAAGACTGAACCCAAAGACTTTCTTTGGAGGCTCCAGTCAGCTCTAAAAATCCACTATGAGCTGGTGCCAAAGATGTGATGAAGCGGGGGCGGGCGTGTGGAGGTGGGAGAAAGGAAACGGGAAGCCAAATCTGGATGCTTGCCGGCAGCGGCTGTGGAGACAGCGGAAAAGTGCTGGCTAACGCTAGTAGCCGGGAGGAAGTGGGGTCTTTGGCCTTCTCACTTCCCTTCCCAGGGTTCCCAGAGAGGAATTTCCGTGGGGAAGGCCTAGAATGCAGGTTAGGAAGTCTACAGGGAACAACGGCCTGGTGGAGACAAATTGCTCACACCACGGGGGCGAGGGGAAGGGCGCTCCTGGCAGCAGAGGCAGACTGCCACCAGGCCCTGGGCCCTGGCTGTGCCTCCCCGTCCCAAGAGGGAGTATTTCATGTTTGCCCACCCTTGGCCAAAGTCAGCCCAAGGCGAGGAGAAACACATGGAATTGATTACAGAAGCCGCAACCTGTGGCTTGGAAAAGTCAGCCCTTAGCCCTCACCCCCCTGCTCCCGACAATTTCTCAATTTCTATTTTTCCATTAAAAAATATGGAGTAATTCAATATACCATAATTCCTCTCTCATGTTTACACGCATACTCTGTCTCAGGAACCAAATTCCACAAAGAAACCTTTTGCAAAAAAGAAAAAAAATAGGGAGGAGCCACCAAAGAAAGCTCAAATGAAACAAACCACTATAAACGGGGAAATGACATTAAACTTCTGAAAGTTTACAGCAGAACTCTTACGTTTTCCTCTGGATCACCATTTGGATAGAACCCCCTCCTCCTGCCCTCCACCAAGCTAGCTCTGCTAATCCGATGCCATATATTTACTCCCTACGCATTCCACCGTGAGCTTGCAGACCATCTTAAACGGGTCTTGGAAGATTCTCCAAGTCTCTTTCTCCTCTTCATAAAACAAAAACAAGTTCATTAAAATGTCAGAATCTTGTATTCAGCTCACCCTGACCAACAGTGTTGCCCCGCCCACACAATATACAAAAGCACATTCCTGAAAGCATATGCATTAAATTATCATTTTTCAGTCACACAACTTCAGCGTTTCTGTCTGGCTTCCCTCCCATTCTCCTCTGTAGCCACTTTCTGGAGGCAGCCACTCCATCAGTGGAGTGGTGTTGGTGCATGCGTGGGGCGCAGGACCTCACAGACTGTGCCATCTACCTACTGAGTCGGTGCTACGCTGTGTCTCCACCAAGTCTCTCCAAGTCTCCCCAAGTCTCTCCACCAATCTCCCCTCATTTTGTCTAATGAACGTCTAATAGGGATCAGTCATTTACTGTAAGTGGAGACTGTCGAGCCTTAAATTCCAGCCCCAAATGCCAGGTGTTCCAAAATTTGTGGCTTGTTAGGAATGTCCTCATACTTGGTAAGGTGACGTCCTTTTGGGCTCTGCCAATTATTGTTTTTATCTAACCCGGATGCGTTCAGAAGATGAAAGGAAGGTGATACAGAGCTCCCATGTGAAGAGGCTGATCTGGAACGAAGAGCCCCTGGGATCTGAAGGAAGACTTGACGTGCCTTTGTCACTGACCTGTGCTCCCGCCCCATGGAGGATGGAAAGCGTCATTTTCTGGAGCCATGATTATTACACTTTCTCAATCAGCAGTGGGCAAAGACACAGGGCAATGCGGTCACGGAACGGTTAACTGCTGAGTTAACCTGACCGCCGCGCTCCATGGGCCAAGTCACCCCGATGACCACCAGATCTTCACCTGACTTTATGGTGGAGACACAGCTCGGTACAAAGAGGCTGAGGATTCTAATGATTTGAAGTGAGGGCAAAAAGGGAGACTTCTCAAATGAGGGGTCCTCTCTGGATGGACCCTTATCTCAGCTGATGACCAGTAGGTTCATGCCTGTAGGCTGTCCCTGGTTGGTTGTTCCAATATGTGAATATTTCTAGATTGGCTGTAAATGGCCACTGCCCCAAGCTCCTGACTACCCACACCTCCCTGACCTCTGATCAGGGGACGTCCAGGTCCCCGCCCGAGCCACAGGCCAACCGCCTCTGATTGTCAGCACTGTGCCATCCCAGATGAACCATGACTCACCATCCTCAAAGTTGCAGTTCTCCCCACACTCCGTGGCCTCCTCATCAATGGGATATGGGGTGGTGGTCTCTTCACTCTTCACCGTGGGTCCCAGTGTCTCTACTGTGGGCTTCGAGTCTGCATAAGGGCAAAGAGAGGGGGGAGTGAATGCTGCACGCGGCAGCCTGCATTGAAACCCAGCAGGAAGATGCCCCACACTCAGTTTCCTTTCTAAGTGTGGGCTTTTAAAGGAGGAAGAAAAGATAATGAATGAAGATGGATACATACACATACACGCACACACACAGCCCTGGGGTCACCTCTGTGTGCTGTCAGTGAAGTCAGAAGCACGGCCTGAGTTGAACAAGAATAGTCCCTAAGCTGCAGGAACGGCCACAACACAGGCAGGGACACAAACCCATGTCCCTGCCGCAGACTCCACAGCAAAGGCCCTGGGGCCAGCACAAAAGGCCAGGTGGGACCGTGAGGGATGTGGGCGAAGCGGACCCTAAGGCAGGCTAACACACACACACACAGTGAGTGGTGCCCATCTGAAACAGTAAAGAGTCTCAGTGCCTAATGACGGGAGCTTCCTGTATACTGTCCCTTAGGCGGCTGCTGACGTGCCTTCTCAGCCGGCTCACCCCGTGCTCTTAGGTGGAAGAGACGTTCTCTTTTCAGCCTTCTCTGTCTCAGAACTTTTTTGAACCAAAGCTAACTGACCTAGGAGGCCCGTCTCTAACAAGATCATCAGAAGCACAAGAGCCAAAGCTCTGAGTGAAGGCAGACAACCACAGCCGTTGTTGTTTGCGTTTGCACAAAACTGGACAGAAAGGGACTCAAAGGGACTCAGACTCCACTTGCCAGAAGTAATTTCGGCTGTGCCTTTAGGTCAGGGTGTGGCAAATTCAAATGCTTCCTGGATGCACGCAGCTCCCATAAGCCAGACAGCTGACTGGGGGCTGGGGAGAGTTCAGTGCGGGACGGAAGGTGGCAGAGGGCAACTCGCGTGCCCTGATTCAAGGGAGGCCACCAAACGGGCTCCAGCACACTGAAGGCCTGAAGGGAAGGGGCCCAACGTGGCCAGATCTTGCAAAAAAAAATTTCTTTTCCAACATGAAGCCAATTCCATTCCCATGGAAGATCTCTAGACTTGTCCATGTTGGCAACTTATTCAAAGTATTGTAACAAGGAGCATGCAACAGAGCTTGGCCAGGCCAAATCTGGCTGCAGGCAGTCAGTTCTGACCTAGGCTCTAGGTGATTCATTCCCCCATCCATTCACTTGTCTATTTGCTCACGCCAGTCATTCATTCAGCAACTATTTATGAAATGAATGAAACAGTGAGTCACGCCCTGGGTGGGGCGAAGAGGGGTTCTGGTAACTGGCATTCAAGTCCGTGCCTCATGGGGTGGGGTCTTCAGCCCCCAGTTGCCCTCCAACGAGAGACTCGCCGAATAAGCTGGTGCATTGTTCCTCCCATTTCTATACATGTTCCTATGATTAGGTGCCTTTGTCAGGCACACTTTAGGATACCATTTAATAAAGCCAGGAGCTGAAGGAAATTGCTAAATACGCTGAATAGCTTTTTCACGGTCGACTTCCCATCTTTCTGCTATTAAATACGATGCACATAACCTTTCATACTTCCCTTTGCCGTGTCTGCCTCTTGCTCACAGTAAATAGCAAATAACCTCAAAGCGTCTTAATTTGTAAGTTCAAATTTGTCACTGTGTCATAGAATCTCAAACTCAATTGTAAAGCAAACTATGGGCAGCAAAGCAAGAAGTAATCATTTGGAACACAAACTAACAAGTGAAGCAGCCCTGTCAAATTATTTAGCTGCAGTGACTCAGGCCAGCCCTGTTATTTTTTCCTGCTCTCCTTTTGGGGTAGGAACGAAGTGAACCAGGGACGCGTCACAGAAAGGAATGGGAATTTGAAAAGCAAAAAAGCTATGTGGCCCACAAGAGCAGTTTCTGAGGAGGTTAGGTAGCTGGTTGGTAAAGATCACGTTAAATCCGGGGGCACAGGGGTCTGAGGAGGCAAGGAGAGGACAGGGTGTGTGAAGGATAGTGAGAAGGCAGGCCATGTCCGCTGCGCTTTCCTGGGAGCTCAGGGGTAACTGCCCATCAAACTGCAACGCTCCCCTTACAATTGAAACCAGATGTCAGCAACTTCAAAGGGAAGGAGGCTGGGCGGAGGCTAAGAAGCCCCAATTCTGATCTTCCAAGGAATGGCCAGGCAGGACTTTGAAATGAGAAACCTGTTGCTGACCATCGCCAGGGTAATTTGGACCAGGTTGGGGCGGGGGAGCAATAAGAGGAAAAGGACATTAGCAACTGTCCAGCCGGTCATAAAGCAGGGCCAGCCCAGGAGAGGCGTGGCACAGAAGGGCAGACCTCTGACAAGTAGCTTCCTCTCTCTGGGACTCAGTTTCCCCATCTGTGATAGCGACGTTGGCCTAGATCTGTGATTTTTTTTTTCCAAAGTGTATGCCACACTCGTTTGTAGGTTGTGGGATCAATGTGATGGGTCATGATCAGAATTTTTGAATGTGGACTGTAATATGTCAGAGTGTGCTCACATGGGGAAAATGAGCACTGATCTGGGGACCGTTCGTTCCAGTTGCGTTTACCTATTATTGCAGGTTTATTAGGTGCCAGGCAGCAGTCTAAGTACTTTATATCCGTTATTTCACTGAATCCTCATAACAACCTAGGGGGTGTAGATATGCTATTATCATCCCGATTTTTCAGCTGAGATAACCAAGATGCCGAGAGTCTAAGGAACTTGTCTGAGGTCATGTAGCCAGCGATCAGCAGAAGCAGGGCTTGTACTTGGCAATCTGTCCCCAGGGTCCAGCACTTAACAATACACCGTAACCCGTATGCACACACCGTGTGAGTGTGTGCTTGCGAGCCAACTGGATTGTGATATAAATTTATTTTAAATTGTGGATCATGGTCAAAAATGTTTGAAAGCCACTGGCTTTTAGAAGCTCCTGGGTCCCCTGCAGCTCTAACCCTTTGATTTCGAAGAGGCCATAAACGAAGCCAGCTTGTATCACTCTGGAGGGGCAGTTTTCCGCACCTGCAAGCAGACAGGTGACTCACATTCAGCAGGCTGCAGGGAAACTTGGCCTTTCCCCTACGTGAGGGGGAGTAAAGTATCTTCCCTCTAAAATGTGTTCGCTGGGGCTGCCTTCAATCCAAAGGTGAGAGGCTAATTTGGGCCCGATTTCCAGCCTGCGTGCCTCAACGGGGCTCCTCCTCTGAGCCATCGGACGCAGCCTGCAACCCCCTGGGCGCCAGAGGCACTTCTCCGACATGCCCTTATTATCCTTCCCGATGCCCTGTGGGGGGAGCTGGAGACGGTAGGGCACCGACAGGAAAATGGAGATACCTGGGGGCCTGGTGGCCAGAGGCGGGGCAGCTCGGCCTGTCTGCCGCTCCTGCTGGCACTGGGTTCAGGTGGCTCCCCTGAGCTCCTTTTGGAGGGCAGGGAGCCAGCTTCAGGTGAGATCTCGCGCCAGCTCTGCCCAAGGAGGTGCCCAGAAGAAGGGGGGGGCCTGATTCAGAAGAAAAGGGTGCTTCCTGGAAACAGGGAGGGTGGGCATGCGCAGTGGGCCTTACCTGCAATAAGGAGAGTTAGAGGTCTTCCCTGGGCCTGGGCCGCCGAGGATGGCGAGGTGAGGTGTGGTGGGGGGGTAGGTGGAGGCGGGGAAGGAATGAGCAAGACTCCCCCTTGCGCACGGGGAAGAAGTCCTACTCCCGGCAGCTCCCCTACAACAGGGTCCCTCCTGAGCTAATAAATGCCTTTTACAGATGTGGCTTCGCAACGAAAATGAAGTCTCTTAGCCACTGACATCTGGAGGCCAGATTCAGACATAAACCGATTACTTTATTATCATGAGGGGTTTTTTTCTTCCCTAAATCAACAGCCACAGCCTCCTGGCCCGAAGAGTCAGGGTCTAATTGAATTTGGGTGGGTGGTGTGTGGTTATGATTTGTTTTTGAGAGACTGGGGTTGGGGAACTGAAATGATCCTTTAAAAAAGACAAAGCACATCCCTCGAGAAATTATCCCCTGTCCAGAGGCTGGAGTGCCCAGGGTTTGAGGGCAGGAGAACATGACAGGGCCTAGGGTGGGTGGGGTTTCGAGCTGACAGAGCTTCACCGGGGAAGGCTGCCCCCTCTGCCCATCCACAATGTCATGGTCTGACCTCCTCCCAGGGCATCCCAGGAAGCCAGGGTCACACGACCATGTGAGTGAGACCTGGAGTGGGAAAGCAGGCCTTACCTGTCCAGTCACAGCCCAGCACCTCCAGCCGCATCCCAATCCCTGCTGGAGACCACCTCTCGGGGTACACCCGCACGTACTGTGCCGGAACGGGGTCGAATCTTCGGATGTCAGGGGTGTCATAGTGCATGTTCCCTTCAAACAGCTGCAGGGGAGACAGGCCACTCAGCCCCTCTTCTGTGGGATCCCATCCCCACCCCTCCCCTTCTTCCCTATCCTTCCCCTTCTCCTCCCTGCTCTGCACATCTATCCAGAAGGTAGCTTCATAGTTGACTCACTGGACATTACAACCCATAGGAACTCCATCCTCAGACCAAAGTTTTGGTTCATTTGGAAGATGGTTAGGGTCCCAGAAACACAGAAAAGAGGGAGCAAATGGAAGTGGCAATTGCTAGGTTCTGTCTTCTACCATTGGACTGGAGACTGTGGACTCGGGAAAGAATTAGTCTCTGAATGGACTTGGCTGGAGAGAAGACAAGTGAATTTCAGGCTGCTTTGCCCATTGTCTTCGAAGTTCTTGTTGTAGGGGCGCCTGGGTGGCTCAGGTGGTTAAGGGTCTGCCTTCGGCTCACGTCATGATGGAGCCCCATGTCAGGCCTCCCCCCGCTCAGCAGGGAGTCTGCTTGTCCCTTTCCCTCTGCCCCTCACCCCACTCATGCTCTCTCTCAAATAAATAAAACCTTAAAAAAAAAAAAAAGAAGTTCTTGTAATGCTTAAAAGTCTATGTAGAAAGCCCCAGCTGACTGACAGGTCACCAAAAGGCTGAAGGTAGAGTGACCATCCTCTTCTCCAGGCTAATAACAACATCTTCTCATCATACATTGATAGTCTGAGACCGTGCCCCCCAAAGCTTTGTTTAGCAGAGCCAATTCTGTCAAAACAAAGCTCACTTAGAGCCCCAGGACATAAATTGAGGACAGTGCGGCTCTCCTGGTCTAAGCCACGTGGGGGACGCAACCCAGAGCACATGTGGGAGCCACTGATTAGGGCGATGTTGGTGCGGAGACGTGCCAGGGGCTATGGCTGATCAGCACCTAGGGATGCTGCAGGGCTACCTCCTTTGCAGGATGCCCACAATTCCAAAAGGGGGCACTGTCATGGGGAGGGTAGGCCTTGATACTGGCTAAGATCATCTCCTCTCCCAGGCTCCCAGAATGGGTCAAGAAGAGCCAGGGTCAGCTCTCCCCGGGAAAACCCATGGTCCAACTTCTGCTCTGTCCACTGAGGTTTCCAGTTACCAAGTCCTGAGTCTTTCCAGGCCCCTAAAGTGTGAACTGGGTGTTCACATCAGCATTGCCAAGCCTCCAACCCAGCCTGTGCCTCTACATTAAGAATGGAAACATTTGCTGAGCAAAAGGGACCAAACAGAGACATGAAATTCCCCCTTCCTTGGTAAAAGAGGCCTGCTTTTAAACGAGGGTAACTCAGCAGTTAGGATCAGAATGCCTGACTCCCCCTGAGATTGACCTGGAGAGGGACAGGCATGATGTCTTTTCCCCTTGCTGGGGGCTCCTCCATACCCAGCATTGAGGGCTGACCCTTACTCCTTGATGGCGGGAGGGGTGGGCTGTGCTGGCCTGGGAAGTTTCTCCTGCCTCTCCCAGATTCAGTATGAGAGGTGGGAAAGATCTAAGCAGAGTCCAGACTGGGAAAACACAAAGGAGTGCAGCGACATTCAAAAATACAGTTGTTTTTGGAAGTAATCCCCAAGTTTCTATACTTAGGCCTCCAAAACCTACATCCCCTTTTGGACGTCTGGTCAATTCCAAGGAAACATCATCTGCAAGAGGGTGTAAAGGGTGTCAAACTTGACAGAAAGGCAGTGCAGGGTGGGAGGTAGGTGTCTGGGCTCTGGAGTCAGACTGTGTCTGTGTCTGAATCGTGGCTCTCCACGATATACACCGTGACCCCGGGGATGACACCAAGCCTCAGTTTTGTCATCTCTAACATGGGAGCGACAAAAGGATCCTCCTTCTAGAGATGTTGGAAGGATTAAAATATGGCATTTAGCAGGGTGTCTGGCACAAAGTAATCTCTCAGCTAATGTTTATTAGAATACAGGGGGTCTGGTGACGCCTGTCTAGTTAGGAAGTGAGCACCCCCAAACTAAACTTCCCCGTTTGCGGTTGGGTTAGAGAGGTCTTCCAGGAATGGCCTACCTTCGGCTGCTGGGTCCTGGGGTCCTGGATGTGTTCCCAGTCTCTGCCATTTAGGCTATAGGAGACTTTGAACTTGCGCACAAACGCCCTGGCTTCCACAGCAGTGATGCTATCTCCCCCGCGGGCCCCCTGGATGATGATGCCCTTCACCGTCTTGGGCACTCCCAGGTCCACCTGAAGCCACTCCTCGCCCGGCTGGGCCTGAGGGATCCGGGGAAACCAGCCCGAGCGGCTGCTGACCAGGCGGGCGGCGCTGGGGCTCCACAGGTACTCCCGAGTGGAGGAGGCCGAGATCTGAGAATCAGGGATGAGGCCCGAGAGCATCCCCAGCATGTTGGAGCAGGGGGCATCTGTGGAGGGGAGGGAGACGCAAGAGCTCATGGCCGCACCCAGCTTACCGGACAGCACCTCCCATTGCAGTGAGCTGTGAAAGAACCCGACTACCACACGCTGGAAGTCAGCACTGGTTTCTTTGCGTTTCAAGCACCGTGGTTAAGAGCCCAGACTGGGAGCCAGACTGCCTGGGTCCATGTCTGCTTTGTCCCTTACTAGCTGTCTGACCTTAGGCAAATGATTCCACTGCTGTCTCCAGGTCTGAAAGAGGGCTAGCGGCAGAACTTACCTCTTAGGGGTTATTGCAAGGACTCCTTCGGCTACTCCACAGACGGTCATGGCACAGGGCCTGGCACATCTGAGCATCCCACCCTGTTGGCCAAGGACTCGCAAATCCTTGTGGGTGACACCTGGGCCCCCGGAGCCTCCCAGGGCTATGAGCGCAGCAAAGCTCAGCTGAGCCCTGAGTTGTTTCCTAGATGATTGTTTTCCCAAGCATGGAAACTCTGCTGGGGTCTTTGCTTGCACATGTGTTATCATAGCTTTTTACGACCTTGTGCCCTTTGCACATGCTGTTCCTGCTGCTCAAAATGCTGTTCCCCTCTATCGTCATCAGACAAACCTTTACTTAAGTATCACATCCTCAGAAAGGCCATCCCCAAACTTCCAAACAACAGTCAGTTAGGTCCCCCACTCTTTCTCTGAGCACTCTGTCCTTTTCCTTCATACACGCATCTTAGTTTAAACTATCCAGTACTTGATCTGGTTATGATCCATGCTGCCCACCAGCCTGAAAGTTTCATGTGGTTAGAGACCCCATCTGCTTGTCACTTCCCCTGTCCACTTCCATTCCCAGTGTGGGGCCTGTTGCACAGCAGGCCTCCAAGATTACTTGTGTAGCCAATGAGCAGATGCACAGATAAATGGTATCCGGCAAGACGGGGTCTGCAGCCAGGGTGCATTAGCTACTGCTAAACAGAGCTCCAGGTGAAAGTGAGCCTTCTGGAAAGGTCACCCCCCCCCCTCACCTGTGACCCGGCAGCCGAAGAGCTCCAGCCGCAGGGCAATGCCCGAGTGCCAGGTCTGGGGCCGGATCCTGACGAACCTGGTCAGCAGGGGCGTGTGCAGCTTGTTGAGAACCACCTCCGTTGCGTCGTTGTTGGCTTGGAAGACCTGTAGGGTCAGATGAGAAACCACCGTCAAAATCCCGGCTTGTAGTGCGGCCGCTCACCCAGCCTTTGAAGGGGGTGCAAAAGTTCTGTTGAACCTTATTTCCCCTCAAGCTTGTAATAATCAGTGTGTTTGTTGTTTGGGGCTTTTTTAGAAGTACCATGAAAAAAAAATTAAATTTCTCACACTGCTCTAACTTGAAAACAATAACTGGTCTTCACAAAAACTTTTAGAGGAAAGAAAAATCTTGCCTCTGGGCTGAGAGCAAGCAGAAGAAGGCGCCTTAAATCTGGAGCAGAAGGGTCATCTTTTAGGGCTAGTGGACCTCATTAGCTTGAACTTGATTCTCCCCCTCCCTCACGGTGCAGGCATATAGGAATATTTGCCAGGTATTTTTATAAAGTGCTTCACAGTTGTTTTGTTAGTTACTTAGAGACCTCCCTGCTCCGTGAATGGGTGAGAGCATGGAGTGGAGGGGGGGGGGTTGGCAGCACCATCTACTCCTCGGGGCCCTGTGTCAATCAACACTTTCTTGGTTCCCTCTGGTCTTTGTTGGATGTTCAGGGTTGCAGACAGTCTCTCAGAGTCCTGCCCTGGTTTCCTCTCACTGTGGTCCCACCCTGTAATGAAATCCATCCCTGTCCCCATCTGACCAGTGCATCTCTTAGGGGAGGAAAGGCTTTTCGGAGTAGCTTCTAAGCCAACATGGTAGGAGCAAGTCCTAGTTTACCAGATGGCCCAAATCAATAACTGCCATATGGACCTTATGCTTTCCTGTGCTCTCCATTAAATTAAAAAAAAAAAAAAAAAAGTAGCTGGCGCAAGTATATGTGAGTTTCTCTTGGTTTCCTTGCTAAGGGCTGGGGGAAAGACCCACTAACCAAGCATCACTTCTAAATCATACCTGTCATAGCTATAACAACCAAGAGACTCTGCAAATCGACTCGAGGGACTAGACACTTCAGCTCATGATACCTAGAATAGGCCAGGTGTGTGGACACTGACAGGGCTGCGACCAGAGGATGGGGAAACTGGTCTGTTCCAGTACCCCTGAGATAGACACCATGTAAACACAATTACATCTATAATGCCTTGGCAAGTAAGTATTATTATTTCTGCTTTTTTGATGAGAAAACGGAGGCTCAGGGATGTCCGTCTGGATCCAAAGCCCCTGTGGAGATGGATCGTAGGTTTATGGTTTCCTACGTTGGCTCTCACCTCTTTTAACAAATTCGCAGTGTTTATATTGGTGGCGAGGAGTCTTGGAGTCCTTAAGGTCTCTGAGCCTGGGCTGAATGGAGGTGGGGTTACTCTTCAGGGATGTGTGTTTATAATCCTGACTTGAAAGCTCTGGATAACAGCAATGAGCTGCAAGCCGCTTAGAGCTAATTAACAACGTGGTCCTTTCTTTCCCATGAACTGTAACTAGGAACTCTGCCATTTGGCAACCTTGAACCCTCCATATTTCCCACTTGCTGAGGTCAAAAGTTAGAGCCCTTAAATAGCACACCACTGATGGTGGGGGTGAAGGGTAAGAGACATTACACCTTTGCAATCAGATCAGGGGAAGTGGCTTGCTTAAGACAGATGGAGCAAAGGAGAGGAGGAAACAGGTTTTCACTGGCCCACCATATTCAGTTTAAACCCCTTATGCCTGGTGCTAAGCGCACCGAAGCCAGGGGAGCTTCCACCCAGCCTGCCCCACTTGCTGCTCCCTGTCCTCACTAGGGAGCCTCCCGCCCATCCTAAGGCCAAGTTCCTTCCTTTGCTGCCTTGCTAACTGCAGGGGGCAAGGGGCAGAACTGCTTGACCACCCATCACTCCCAGGTCTGATTTGGCTCCTTCCTTTCTAGTGACTGGGGACAAAGAGGGGCTAGAAGACAAAACAAGGGAAGAAAGACCAGGCAAACAGGAGGAAAGAGGGTTAGAGTCAGGCACCTGGGGGGAGGCTGATGGAGAGAGGGGCCCAAGCCTCTGTGATCTTCATCTTGGAGAAGGACGACCGAGGGAGGGGACAGGGCCCAGGAAGGCCCCGGCCTGGCCATGCCCGTTCCACGGCTTCTCGGGAGCTTATAAAGAGCTCCTCAGCTCTGAGGCAAGGAATGAAGGCACTGAATCCAAGGGAAAGAGATTAATCAATTCTCTTAGAATTCAGCACGAGGCAGAGGCTTTTGTTTGTTTTTTGTTTTGTTTTGGCAAGGAAGAAGCCAATGCAGCACTTTGCTTATTTGGGGAGGTGCTGTGAGCCATGGGGGGCCGCCACCGGCCGCGCCCTGAGGATGGTGAGGCTGACTGTGTGGGTGCCATCAGGAGATGCGAAGGAGTTCATCTGGGGCGGGGAGCTGGACTGGTCACGTGAATACATAATTGGAGCGCTGAGTGGATGTGAACTTTAACACAGCCGCTAATCCACAGCATATACGCCACGCTGGTACCGTTTAGAAACACAGCACGTCTTATGTGTTTTTAATTTCCAATTTTATCTTATCTGACCCCTTCATTTCTCAGCCTTGGCAGACAACACTAAGAAACCTTTCTTCCCCCTCCCCACCCCCCCCAGTAAGGAAATGACTATGTCTTTGGACTCCCTTTGGGAGGCTGGCAGGGGCGTGAGTGTGGCTGTGCGTGGGCATGTGCACGTGCACGCACACACGTGTGTACCTGTCCGGTGAGGGGGCTGGTCTTCCCACAGAGGCACACGGTCACAGGCTTTGGGTGAGCCCCCTGATCACAGTGACCCCTGCCAGAAAGGGAGGCGAGGACACGGTCTCTCTGCTTAGACCACCTACCTGGCTGCCCGCCCCCGCCCCCCCCAAGCTTCATTCTGCCATCCCGTTTTGCTCACTCTGCTCCTACCCTTGCTCGGAACCAAATGAATGCTCGTTTAACATGGCCTCAAATTGTCCTTTGGGTTTCTGAGCCTGCTTCCTTCTTGGTTTCTTGTGTGCTCTCGACTTTGCACTCATATCTGCCCCTGCTCTCTGGACCCTTTCCTGACGGAGTACCAGCTTATTTCATTAAACTCTTTATACACTTCTCACCAGAGTGGGGAAAAAAGCCCCCAAACACCACTGAACCAGGCACCTGGGGAGACAGGCTGCTGCTGAGCTCATCAGTGTGGGCAAATGTCTCCACCTCCCCCAGGCCCCAATTTCTCCCTCTATTAAATGAGTTGATTTGTCAGGTCCTTTCTGGCCCCCAGATTCTAAGGCTTTCCGCGTAAGAGTTTCCAACTAGAACTGCCCCAGCAGCGCTCATTTTGTAAAGGGTATTTTAATTGTCCAGGGTCCCTTAAAGACTAAGTGCTTTGGTGGACGAGGGCTGTGGGTTTTAATACACTTCAAAGAGTGCCCGGGACACACAGTGAGTGCCCCACTCAGAGGGAGAGTACACCTTGTTGATGTTTTCGCTCAGTAACAGTCCCAATTATTAATAATGAAAAGTAATGAATAACAACACCCTAGTCCTTACATACTGTCTTTCACCCAATGATATCAAAGTGCAATTTATGAAAATCCATTTTTAATGAAATATTAAGCAGTTTCTATTTCTCCTGACCCAATGGATTTACAAGGTCTCTATTTTTCTCCCTGCATCTTCCTATTTATAGCTGGGAAATGCTATCATATATTATACATCTTTATGACTTTCTCAATGCTTCTGTGGTTTCAGAATCACCCTTCATATGTTTTCTGATCAAATTCTCAGAGATGGATTCTTGGCTTCTAGTCTAGGCATTGCAAGGTAAGGGGTTGTGTGCATGGGAAATGATGCCAGGAAATTGGTTTTATTCCCTATTCCCTGCCGACTCACTGAATCACTATAGGCAAATCAATAATCCTTAGATACCTTGGTTTCTCCTGCAGGAAAATGAAGTCGATAGCAGGCTTGCAGATAGACACTAAGCCCTCCCTGTTGGCTCCAGTGCCTGCAGAGCACCCAGGACCGATGTTAGAGTGGAAGCCAGTAACACATGGGTCTCTGTTCAATGGGGACGCTTCAAATTGTGAAAGCCGTTGACTCCCAAGCCCCAGATTTTCAGGCCATAACTTGACCTGAAAGTTATCAGTGAGGTGTCCCTGATGCTAAGAAAACTCAGCGGGTCGTCAGCGTATGGTACACCCCGAGAAGCATACACCAAATGTGATGATTCACATTATAACATCTGCTTTAAAAGCTGGATTGTTAATTTTTAAAAGCAAAATGCTAATATGGTTGCTTTATCACCCCAAAAAAACCCAGAAGTGTGTTCAAGGTGTCTCTAGCTTTCTTTCTTTTTTTTTTTTTTTAAGATTTTATTTATTTATTTGAGAGAGAGAATGAGAGAGAGAGAGCACATGAGAGGGGGGAGGGTCAGAGGCAGAAGCAGGCTCCCTGCCGAGCAGGGAGCCCGATGCGGGACTCGATCCCAGGACTCCAGGATCATGACCTGAGCCGAAGGCAGTCGCTTAACCAACTGAGCCACCCAGGTGCCCTGTCTCTAGCTTTCTTAAGAGGTAAGGATAGTGTTGATCGATGTAATTATTAAATTGTGTGTGTGTGTGTGTGTGTGTTTGTTTATGTTGAACACAGATTTCTTCAAATGCATCTCTGCAAACCAAGTTTAAAAAGCAGTTCAGGGCACAAAGTGGTTTGGATAATCCATTTGGTGCCTTGCTGAATTCTGAACATAATCCAACACTTTCCAATTGATTCTTGAGACCTTTGGTTTATTTTCAGAAAGACAGAATCTGAAACCGGCAGCACTTCAAAGATTTTCTGATTTGCACCTCTGGGGGGGAGGGGACATCTGCCAATTAACTTGGCTGCTATCCAACATCCCAGTGTGGTGACTATCTATGTACCCCACCCAGGAAAAGAAAAAAAATCAACATGTTTTGACCATACCTATGAGCTCCTCTAGTACTATGTAAAATAAAAGAAGACAAAACATGTGATCTAATAGGAAACATCTAGGCCGAAAGCATCCCTGATGGCTTTGGGGTCATCTTTTCTCTATTTTT